CATCTTCATTCAAAACAATATTTTTTTTTTTTTATAAATTTTGAAGTGATCTTTTCATCAGAGGCTGAATTAAGTAAGGAGACTTTACAATATTTTTTATGAACCTTGTCACGAAGCAAAAAGAGTATTAAGTAACCATAGACCAAGTACCTCGTAATCAAACTTAACACGCATGTTTGAAAATTGATCAAAGCATCCTTGAAACTCATTTATGTGGTTTGAAATGGGTTTGCTCTTATGATAACTCAAGTGCATACCTTGCTTGAGTAAAAATAGTTTATTGTTGTCAGCCTTTGAAGAGAATATACTACTTAGTCTTGGTCATTGTCAGATGTTGAATGACCTTCTCACCTAAAAGTTCGAATTATTAAGGAAACTCAACCATTATTCATATATCCGCAAACATGAATCCTAACAGTCATATTGGCAAAAAAATTCTGCAGGGGTTGTGCATGATCACGCCTAATCAAGGTATTTTGTGCTGTCCCATCAAAACTTCTTCACCAAATTCAAGTATTCCTTTCACCAAATTGACGAGAGATGATAAACGACAATAAACAACAAAAATAACAATACGAGATATAAAAAAAATTAACATAGAAAACTTCTTCAATATAAAGGATAAAATCACGAGGCCTATCACCCGACCTAAGGTAAAAATCCACTATATCAAAAGTGTCTGTACAATCAAAGGTAACCACAACCAAAACCTATCAAAACCACATCCAATTACAAGAATCAAACTTCAATAGCAAAATATCTCCCAACCATAAAATAACTCATTCCAAAACACCAACCAACATGATTAGTACTCTACTGTTGAGTTAGCAACCAGATAGAAAATCCAAGATGATGAAATAGTTGATCGAAACCGAATTGAAGAAATCATTTCTTATTGGTCGATTCTCTTGTATACATTGATGATGATTGTGTCTTTCTTAATTTCACTTATCTACAAAGTCCACCCCAAATTGAAACTAAGACCCACTAATTTTGAGATATGAGCTCCAACAAATTTGAGCTCAAAATAAATTGACAAACTATTGTAATTTAATTTTTTTTTAATATAAAAGTATATTATATAATCTTACAAAATATCGTATTCAAATTAGGGGTAATTCTCTTAATACCCATAGTTTTAAACATATAGTTTTATACTATTTTCGTCTCACAACTATAGTATTAGTTGTATTTGGCACAAGATTTAAAAATATTGATAATTGATAAAATGTATGAGTAAAAGATTTTTTTGTCCTTATAAGTGTATTAGTGTAAAAAATGGTGACATTTGAGCAATGATAGTAAAAAAATAAAAATAGTTTTATGATGATATGATTATTTACGAAAATGGGTTATTGTTTTGATTGAGACGAATGAAGTATTATATTAATAAATTAATTATATATTCAAAATATTATATCAATATTTATTTATATCATATAATAATATAATATAATTAAAAAAATTCCTTTTATTACATTTTTCCAAAACCTATCACATTACACATTTCATTTTCATTTTATATACTCCCTCCGTCTATTTACAGGTTACATTTACTTTTGGCGCGATGTTTAAAAAATAATAATATTTTAATTATAGTGAGTAGTTAAAAGTAGTGTAATGACATTTTTGCCCTTACTTTTTTTTGTAAAAGTAATTATGTGATGTAAAGTAAGAGTATTTGTGAAAAAAAATAGGGTATTTAATGAAATGTAAACTTTGTAATTGGACGTCCCAAAATAGAAACATGTAAACTTTGTAAGCGGACGGAGGGAGTATTATGTAATTAAAAAAATTCTTTTTATTACGTTTTTTTCCAAAACCTATCACATTACACATTTCATTTTCATTTTATATATTATGTAGAATGGGTTGTGTTTGTTCACGGGATTTTCTAATATAATGTGTTTGTTTGGGAGTTTGAATTTTGGATTGGGTTTTGAATAGTAAAAAATTTGAATAGTTGTATGATGTGATATAAATATGTATTAATGTAATATTTTGAATGTAAAATAGATTTTTAGTATAATATAAAAAATAAAAAATAAGTGTTTAATTTGATATTTTTGAAGAAAAAATTTGTTTGAATACTAGAAATCCACACAATCCTTCAAACAAACACATAGAAAAAAAAAATTATTAAAAATATTACTCTATCTATCATTTAAATTTATTTTTAATTTTTTTTTGTTGTCACGAAAATTTATTCTTTTTTTTCTCTTTTATTAAAAAATAACAACTTTTTTATTTTTTTTACCCTAAAAAGTAAAAAAAATTCTTTTTACCTATTTTTCTTATAAAACAACTTGTACACGATCAAATGAGTACACAATTGCATGATGGGAGGAATAATTTTAAATACATAGTTTTATTAAAACTACTATATCAATATCTATTTATATCATATTAAATAATTAACTATTATTTAAAGTTATTTATTTTTATTAAATATATTTTTTCAAAAAATACTACTCCATATTATATTTATATTTATTTGAACTATCATATAAGTATTTATTTATTAGTATCAAAACATACCAAAAAACCATAACACAAAAATATATACATAACAAAACAAAAAATACTCCTTATATCTCGCGTTAATGTATATATTTTTTTATTTTTGCATATCTTGCGTTAACGTATATATTTTTTTTATTTTTGCATGTCTCGCATTAACGTATATATTTTATTAGAAACTATGAATCCTATATATTTTTTTAAAATAGTTTTATTTTACTGTCTCAATATTAATTTTATATTAAAAAATAAGAGTAAAATAATTTTTACTTTATTTTTTATTACTTAATACAATTAAAATATTACTATCTCCGTTGTGGATACGGTATTTTAGGAGGGATGTAATTAGTAGATAATTAAGAATGTATTAGTGAAAATAATTATTCTATAATATAAATAATTATAAATTAAGATTAAAATAACTAATTAGTTTAATTAAAATTTTAAAAAAAATTAAAAAGTTTAAAATGAAATTAAAGTATGTAATCATTTTTCAAAAAAGAAAAATGACATAGTACGTGGGACGGACAGAAACGACAACGTGGACATGGTATATGGGACGAAGGGAGTATCAGTTATAAGTTATTATATTAATAATTATTCTTATATACCATAATTAAATATAAAATATATATAGTGGCGGGGTCTATCTATTTTGGAAAAGAAAATCAAAATCTAGAAATGAATTCTCACAAAGTGGATCCGTTCATGTAAAATTATATATATACACACAACTTTCAAGAACATCCGATATCAATAATAAAAAGTACAAAATATAAGCAAAATAATAGTTTAGGACTTCGAACACTTGCATTTTTGCAACTCAATACAATAAAACTAAACAATAAATAAATGAAAAAAAAGGTACAAAAGTCATATGATGTAGGCATTCGTACAACTACTCGTATGTATGAATTTGATATATATATATATATATACACGATTGTATGTAGGACAGGCTTTTTAGGGAAATAGGATTTGTTTCATAGTAAATGCTAGAATAGTATAGTGATGGACGCAGCAGCCATACAGAGTATTAGGAAGTGCATTAACATTATTTATTTGTCTTCACAATCGCATCATTGCGCATAAAGCCGGTTTTCCAAGATAAGACCAACTCAGTACTATTATTTAATCAAATGCTGTTCTACTAAAGAAAAATATAATATCTTTACAAGAGTGGGCCAGACCTGAGGACACGTGGAGGCCCTGAATCAGCCCACGGATTTCACCCTGGCAGCCCCTCCGCCGTTGGATTAGGATAAGCCAAAAAACAACGGCCAATTTTTGGTCGCCACTACCTCGCCCTTTGTTTTTATGGGTCCCATCCATCATGGGCAATTTTTGCTTTTATTTTTAGTTTTAATATATTAAATAAAATTATTATTGTTTGGAAAGGAAATTAAATAATTATTTAATATAAATTACATAAAAAATATTGAATTAAATATATTTTTAAGAAAATTAACTACGAGATTTCAGTTAAAATTTTACTATTTTGAATTTTTTTTTTAATAAATATCAAATTAAATATTTATTTTTTATTTATTATATTACACTATAATTTAATTTTATATTAAAAATATCGCATCAATACATATTTAGTGGTATAATTATATATTCATTAAAATTTAGTGGATAATTTGGCAACGTGGAAATAAATTCCTGACCGTATTAATTTATAAATTTTCTAAATTTCTTTGAGAAACCAAATTGAGAAACTAAATAAAACAAATATTTAATATTATAAATTAACATGCGACTAGTTTATATCAACTTTAATAGTAATACATAAGCTGGTTTCAAAGAAAATCATATATATATAACAATTTTAGTAGCAAACCAAGCACAACACACTAAACAAAATACATTTATCTTAAAAAATATTAAAAAAATATATATTCATTCTTTTATCTAAATTTGGGTTCTTCAATGAAAAATTCTTTCATCTTTATTTAATAAAAATCATACTAACACCTTTTATATAAAAATTAAGAAGTAACAAAAAATGTACATTTAAATTAAAATTTATACTTAAAAATTTAGAGAATTAGAAAATAATAAATAGCTTATCGGGTATATAAAAAGTTTATTCGCTTAATATTTTTAAATAAATTTATTTTTATATCAAGTATAAAGAGATGTGTATATATATTAATTTTTAAATAATATTATCTCCGTTCGATTCTGAGAATTTCATTTATATTTTTTCTTTTATAATATTAACAGAAGAATATTTATATAAAAAATATATAAATATAAAAATATTTTTAATATTAAATATAATAGTGTAAAAGGTAAATATGATCTTCAGCGGAACTATGAGAATCGTTAAATTATAGCCTAATCACAGTGTGGAAACTTCCAATCAAACCCACAGTTTCTGGCAGCTTCTTCATCCATTTATATATTTTTTTTATTTATTGAACGAATAATATTTTATGAATATTTCTCACCTATTAATATTATTATTATTCTAATTATAATTCCGCCATTGAATATAAGAGCAATAACTTCCGGTGCGGTGAGGCGAGTTCAGTTCCCAATTCCCTCTCTCTCTGAGACTGAGTAAGGTTTGAAGCAGCGGAGACATGTTCCTTGTGGCCATAGTGGCGGAGCTGCTGGAGGAGTACACGGTGGTGGTCACGCGCGTGCTGGAGCACATCCTGCACGACGCGCCGCTCCCCTTCCCCCGCCGGGTGCGTTTCCTTATTCTACGAAATCTCCCCTTCGCTTCTCCTCCTTCCCTTCATTCTTCGCACCGCCTCCCCACTATTAATAATTCCTCCGCCGATCGTCTCCTTCAGCCGCTGTGAATGTAATATGAATCTGTACATTCCTGACCTGTGTACTCTCGGTTTGGTTTTTTTTTTTTTTTTTTTGAATTCTAATACGATGTTGTTGATTGGGATGAGATTCGGATAAATCTGATTTTTGTAAATTGAGATAGATTGGCAGTGTATCCTGTTAGTACTTTCTGTAGTTGTGAGTAATCAATCTGTAGAGTTATGGATCCAAATTTTGATTTACCCTTGCTTGTTTGTTGCTGCGAATTGGTGAATTGGAACCTACTTTGTTTGTCCGTCTTCTTAATTTGCCGATTGAATTTATCTTCTGAATGCTCTCATAACAAAATTGAGATTTTCATTAATTGGTTAGAAGTGGATCAAATGAAAGTTGAAACTATACAGCTTTGCTGATAATTTCGAAGATTTTTGTTTCTCTTTTGTTCGTTATTTTCAAGTGATAACTATGAATTTTTGTTGGTAAACATATGCGTACGGACTTATCATTCCATTGCTGCACTATATACAATCTTAGGAATATTTTGATATTTTTATTTAAAATAGCGGTTTAAGGTCATTATATATATATAATATACATTAAATATAATTCTGAGAATATTTTTTTATTTTTAAAATAAATAATTATTTGTAAAATATTTTTAAAAAATAGATGTCGGGCATAGATTTAAAAGAAAAATAATAGTAATTAAAATACAAATTTTAAAAATAAAAATAAAATATGTAAAATATATGTGTTTTTGTTTACATCTTGATTTCTACGTATAAAAGCATCTCTATACTCACTCGCGCATATATATATATATATATGTATATATATATTATTTACATACACGTATCATACACATAAATATATATATATAGTTATACTTATTTAAAAAATATATATATAAATAGTATATTCAACGATTATACTTAAACTTATTTTTAAATTAATATTATCCAAAACTACACGCTTACATGTTATATAATACTCTATTTATTTGATCACTAAATGTATATATTTTTATTTTGAATTGGTCAATTATAAAGTAATTATTTAAAAAATATTTTACGTTTTTAACAAATATTATTATTTTAATATTATATTATTATTTTTACACCAAAAATAAAAATAAAATTATTTTTATATTATTTTTAACTATATATTATAATTAAATATTATTATTTCTTAAATTCTATCCAAAAATAAAGTAAATGTATACTTATTAGTTAGACGGAGAGAATATATTTTATATACTTACAAATTATTATTCTCACACGTGTTTATAAATAAAATTAATAATTTAATACTCATTCCAATTCAATTAAAAATATATTTTTTTACTATTCTTTTATATCTTATTCAAAAGTATTTTTTTATTTTAGTAGAGGTAACTATACAATATCAAAATACCTTTACTATTTAATTAAATTATATATATATATATAATTACACATCTAAAAGTCAAAAGTCAAAAATAAAATATCTTATACATTTTTACTAACTAATAAAATACTATTTCCTTTGTTCCGTATATGATGTCTCTTTTAGTGTAGATAAGGAATTTAAAAGATGTATAATTAGTAAATAATTAAAAATATATAAGTAAAAATAATAATTATTTAATAAAAATAATTTTAAATTAAAATCAAGATAACTAATTAGTATAATTAAAATTAAAAGAATTATAAATTAAAAATTTTAAAATGAAATTAAAGTGTATAATATTTTTCAAAAAAAAAAAGTGACAAAATAAGTGCGACAAACGAAAATGAAAAGATTAACACCGTAAATGGGACGAAAAAAGTATTATTTTTTTATTTACTACAAAATTCTAAAGAGGTATATTGAAAAGAGATGGAGAGAGTATAAATATTATTGGTATTGGATATAATAAAAAGAATACTTTAAATATTAAAATATTGAACATACTCAAATATGATATCTGCATATAATCTGTATATAACAATTATATTCGATAAAGATTGTGTTTACTTGTTAATAATAATTTTAACTTTAATTTTTAAAACAAAAAAATATGTATGTATACACAATAAAATTATTAAAAGAATGATTTTAATATTTTTAAGAAAATATTTATTAATACAATATGTATTAAATAAGAAATAAGTTATGTATATATATATATATATACATTTCTAGAATCTAATAATTCATTAAAATTTATTTAGAATGTTTTTAAATTCAAAATATCTAAGAAATAAAATCAAATGGACACTTATAATCAAAATGACTTGCTAATGAAATCATGTACACTTGTAATCAAAATGACTTGCTAATGAAATCATGGATATTTTATTATTATTAGTGTCGTTGTCGATTGTAAGACATAAATTTTATCCAGATGAAGCAAGTAGTCAATCACAAATTAGCATGAGAGAGGAATAAACAAAATCGATATGTATACAAGTAACAAAGACATAAAACTTTTTGTTTGTTTATGTTAATAAAATTCCTCATATTAATTGTTTTGACATATACTACAAAAATAAAATAAAATAAAATAAAATAAAATAAGAAAATAAAAATAGTCACCATTTTTTATTGTTAGCGTTAAAAAAAAATAGATATTGAGTGCAAAATGTACATTGTGCAGCGGATGGTAAATGACATATTTTGTTTCATTCCGTTTCAGTTTAGAAATTACAAAAAAAAAATAAAAATAGTCAATTTGTCTGATATATATGAAAAATATTATATGACTATTTCAGTGTAAAAAGTTTTACTATGAAATTCGTAATCAACTTAGAGGACAAAATATCAATCATGTATACAGCACGGAGTGATAGATAAAATTGTGAGAGACACTACCAAAAACAGGTCTTTTGTAACGGTCAAATATTCGTAACTAAAACTCATTTTTCGTGCAAAATAGCTTTTTGTGTCGTCTTTGTTACGGATTTTGATCGCTACGAAAAATCGCGGTACAAAAAGTCCGTGTTGCAACAAAATCCGTAACAAATATTTGGTGGTTAACTCTCAAAATAAGCACGTGTTAATTATATTTGCTACATTTTTTGGTATGTAACAAAAACATCAATCATGTTTTTGAATCGACAAATATCCGACACAAATAATGCGGAACAAAAGTTGAATAATGTCAGAGAAATAATTGTTACGACATATGTCCTAATAAAAAAATGCGTTAGAAATGTCTAATCTTGTCAGAAAACTTCTTGTTGCAAGATTTTTCCGTAACAACAATACATTACAAAAGGATTGCCCCCTAACAAATAAGTTGTTTGTTACAAAATTAGTCCGCAACAAAAAGTCATGACAAAAGAAAAGCAACCATACATTACCATTTGTACCGGCCACTGTCCGTAACTAAAAAGACGAGTGTGGCATAGTAGTTTTGTCGCCATAAATAAATTCCATTTGTCCGTATGATTAATAATAATTTAAAACTTAATCTTATCATAATTGTTTCCAAATCCATGGTAATACTACACATGGTCATCGATACAACGATGTTCATAGTCCAACCAAAAATAAAATATTAGTCGTCAACGGTGCTAACAAAACATCCCAATAAAATACCAATCCGTACACCAACATAACCTACTAAATAACGATAAGCAAAACAAAAAAGTAATACGTAAATAGATAAATCTGATATCATACGTAAGTACAATCTTAAGGGCAACTCATAAATACAACTATGAATGACCCAGCTCGTCGAGTGCAGAATCATGGAGTATGCAATCACGGGCGGTGAACCAACTGCAATGTGTTTTTAATAATATATAAGAATTTAATATAAAAATTGAAGTAATTTAATTTCCAAATGAATAAAGTAAATAAAAAAAATGCGTACATCCTGGTAACAAATACAAGTATAGTAACAAATAAACTCGAAAAGCACTAATAAAATAGGCTGACCCTGAATATGCTACTTTGCAACACATTAATCAAAATGAATGATAAAAAAATGCTTCACTTGCTACAACAATGTTGTATCTCAAAAAGCATCAGTGCATTTTGATATCTTCATTTTGCTTCACACATAGTCAAACAAATGGAGAACCTCGATTGTTATATAATACCATCAAACAGATCCTCTAAATTCTCAACATCATTCAGAGCTAAAAGCTACTCAGAAATTCATCATTAGCAATAGAAATAATCTTCAGGTTGTTCCCAAGGATAAATTATCCGACCAAAGGAATAATGATTTAAAAATGATAAAATCACGAAACACGCTTCCATAAGTGTGGACATGACTCCCACCTTCTATTCAATGCTGATGAGAATATCTGATTCATTAGAACTTCACAATGAAGTACAAACCTACTAGTAAATAACAATTATATTAAACATCGACAAAAATTGAATCCAAGCTTAATTAACAAGTTCTACACCTAAACAACTAAATAAACACAAAACTAACTTAGATTTACAACCATACCAATCTAAGTTAATTAAAGGAGCAACCCATCTTAGCCAAGGAAATTCAAGAAACAGAACATAAATTATCCTACTGCAACAACAAGGTTAAGGAACTAGATAGAAATTAAACAACCTAAACAAATCTAATCTAACCTACAACAATCAATACATATACAAACAAACAATCAAGAAGCAAACTTATATATTATCAACATTCAAAACCAAGAAAAACTTCCTTGATTGCAGAATTTTTCGTGGTGCAGAATTTTGGAGGGGGCTGAGGGGAGAGGCTAATCTACTAAATCCTCATACTTGCATATTTTTTTGCCTTTGAACAATTGCGGTTGACACTGAGGAGGAGCTACAATTAACAGAGAGAAAAAAAATCAGCCATAAGGCTATTTAACAGAGAAAAAAAATCAGCACATGGGTAGAGCTAAAGCTAATTCCAACATCAACCAAAGTAAGACACATGTCATTTGTTAGGGCTAGCACAGTCTACTCTTAATTGCCAATATATAGTTCAAGGCATATAAAAAAAATGAATTTATCAAGCATTGCAAATTTTCAGCCGCATTAACTCAGATGCAACTCCTATCACATTAATGTAATCTAAACCGAAATTCAAGAATATAAAGAAAATATACAACACAGACAAAAAAATATTACATTGATGTACCTTTGAAAATAATGGTAAAGCATCTAAGGCAATTTTATCAAGATTCGTCTCTTTTTGGAATTATCAAGGGCCAAGACTCCATTAGTAACTTTCTTTTGCTTAAAGCAAAAGTGTCAAGAGTACTTTATCAGAGTGAATCATGGGGGACATAGAAAGTTTTTTCCCCATTATTTACAT